CCAAAGCTGCTGCCCATGTCACCCATGATACCAGTGCTGGGGTTCTGGTTCACAGAATCACAGAATTGCAAGAGCTGGAAGGGACCTCTAGAGCACATCTAGTCCAACTCTCCCACTAAAGCAGGATCCCCTAGAGCACTTTACACAGGACTGCATCCAGGTGGGTCTTGAATATCTCCAGAGATGGAGACTCCACAGCCGCCTTGGGCAGCCTGTTCCAGTGCTCTGTCACCCTCACTGAAAATAAGTTTTTCCTCATATTTAAATGGAACTGCAATTTAACTGGAATTTAACTGGAATTTAAATGGTTCTGCAGTTTGTGGAGCTTGTGAGATCCTCCTAGTGCAGCTTCTGGAGCCTGTGAGGTCCCAGTGCAACTTCTGGATCCCATGAAATCCCAGAGCAGCTCCAAGAGCACTAGTACCCAGGGAACTGCAGCCCTGTGCCCACATCTCTTATAAAGATGCTTTTCAAGCCTTCGCTCAACCGAGAACTTTCAGATCCTCCTTGGGCTGCCAAGCGCCGTGGGGCGCATCGCCCGGGGTGGGGGAGCCCGGTGGGGGGAGCACCAGGGGACACAGCTCTGCCCTCTCACTGCTCCCCGTCGAGATACATCATCTGCATCTGCACCCAGGAGCCCATCTCAAAATCACGACGGTTTCCAGGAACTGTTCCTGGTGGCTGCAGAATGCAAATGGGCACGGCCCAGTGGTTCAAAAACATGAAAAATGTAAAAATTCAAGGGCTTCAGAACTTAATCTAAGAATACAAATGTAGACAATGTGCCTCAAAGATAAATGATGGTTTTAAAAAAAGTATTTCTCCCCCTTCAGGGCTCAAATGTCTGTGTGCCTGGAGAGTGTCTGCGAGGTGACATTTTTAGGGTTCAGCATCTCCCCGTGGTCCGAGGTACAAGCACATCTGCAAAAACTACCATAGGTCAGATGTGGAGGTGGGTGGGATGGGTCAGGTTTGCCAGGCAGGGTAAAATCTGTCCCTGCACAGCTTGAACAGATGTGGTTTGGGGAGGGAAAGTCACCCAGGAGGTTTTACTCTGTTAATTGAGCTCTTGCTTTTCCAAAGAACAAAATCTATGTCCAGCTCTGGGATCCCCACACGAGAAGGACATGGAGCTGTTGAAGCAAGTGCAGAGGAGGCCATGGAGATGATGCAAGGGCTGGAGCAGCTCTGATCTGGAAACAGGCTGAGAGAGTTGGTGTTGTACAGCCTGGAGAAGAGAAGGCTCCAGGGGGACCTTAGAGAACCTTCGAGGACCTGAAGGAGCTACAGGAGATCTGGGGAGGGACTTCTGACAAGGGCAGGGAGTGATGGGATGAGGTGGAAAGGTTTCAAGCTGCCAGAGGGGAGATTGAGATGAGTTCTGAGGCAGAAATTCTTTGCTGTGAGGGCGGTGAGACCCTGGCCCAGGTTGTCCAGAGCAGCTGGGACTGCCCCATCCCTGGCAGTGTTGAAGGGCAGGTTGGATGGGGCTTGGAGCAACGTGGTCTAGTGGGACGTGTCCCTACCCATGGCAGGGGATGGTAGTAGATGGTCTTTAAGGTCTCTCCAACCCAAAGCAGTCTGGAATTCAGTTATCTCTGGGTGGTTTTTTTTTGTTTGCAATCCCTCTCACACCTGCCACCATCTCAGGGGGTTAACACATAATAAGGGCCCACAAAGCCCTGGAGAACAAGCTTCCAAACGCAAAATATTCCCCCCACACACCTCGAGCTCCCTCCTGGGGCCGGGGGAGCTCTGGCACCCCAGCCTTTGCTGCCAACGAGGCTGATAACACTGGGTTTTCTCCTGGTTTTCAGTTTAGTTTACACTGGAGCTGGTTTTCCTCCTCAGAGCAGCTGCCAAGGTTGAGAACTCAGAGAGAGAATGAGCTGGTTCCTCCAGACCAAAGACATGGGATGGGTGAATGCTGCCAAGTTGACCCACGTGCTGGACAGGGAACACCGAGGGCTGGGCACGTGCATTTTACCACAGTTTTATGCAAATTGAGACCATCCGGCCTGTTTCTGTGCATTTTCAGGTCATGTTTTCAAGTTTTTATTTGAGGTTTCGGTGCAGGGGAGTGAAATTGTGTGGGTTTTCTAATGATTTTCCCTTCAAAAGATGTCCCTGCTCTCCTGCAGCCCTCTCCCTTGCAGACACGCATGTCACAAGAACATTTTAGTCATTTCTTTAAGTCCCCCGATTACTAATACAGTTTCAAAATGACAGTTTTACACATGACTAGGTTTTCATGCTAATAAGAACATTGATTTTGGGCAGGCAGGGGTGAGCCAGAGAAGGGCAATGGAGCTGGGGAAGGGTCTGGAGCACAAGAGGGATGAGGAGCAGCTGAGGGAACTGGGGGTGTTCAGCCTGGAGAAAAGGAGGCTGAGGGGAGACCTTCTCACTCTCTGCAGCTGCTGAGAGGAGATTGGAGCCAGGGGGGTTGGTCTCTTCTCCCAAGGAACAAGCAACAAGACAAGAGGAAACAGCCTCAGGTTTCCCAGAGGAGGTTTAGATTGCATCTTGGGAACAATTTCTTCCTGGACAGGGTTGTCAGGCCTGGCCCAGGCTGCCCAGGGCAGTGGTGGAGTCCCCATCCCTGGCGGGGTTTGAAAGCCACATAGCTGTGGTGCTGAGGGACATGGTTTGGTGGTGGCCTTGGCAGTGCTGGGGCTAAGGGTTGGACTGGATGATCTTAAGAGTCTTTTCTAACCAAAACAATTCCAGAATTCCATGGGCAGCAGGACCTTGCAGCAGGGCAGCAGTCGATCTGAGTGCAAGGGCTGCTGGCAGTGCCACCACTGCAGGGGCTCTGGCTGTGTCCCCGGTGTCACCGCGCAGCCTCGCGCAGCGCTGGCCGGGTTGCCCCGGTAACTGATGCACGTCAAAGGCAGCAAACGATGAACAAGCTTAAAAAAAAAAAAGAAAGAGAGGACAAACCCCACAGCAGCAGAACCACAGCAGGTATCTGCTCAGAGGGGTTGGGCAGTTCCAGTGCCCTGAGCTGTAGTTGTTTGTGAGGAGCTTTCCTTTCATCAAGGGCAGCACAGGGGCCGTGTGTAAATATCAACACCATCACGGGTCATAAAAGCTTTGGGAGCTGTGGGAGCAAAGCCAAGCGGGACCTGTCGCTGATGGAGCTCAGGGACAGACACACGTAGCTGCAGGGGACAGCCAGAGTGTTAACCATGGAGTAGGGCAGGTGGACATTCAAGGACTTGCCGATGCTGCAGGGAAGGTGACGTCTCTGCCCTCTGGGTGCAGAGAGGCAAGGGACTGGTCCTCCTGGAGGAAGGACATGGAGACCCAAGCTCCTCAAATACCCTGTGAGGGGCATCCCTTGATCAGGGCCTCCTTCCTCACTCTCCTCCCAGCACCACATGCCAACTGCTGAAGTGAGCTGAATCTTCTGGAAACACAGAACCAAGAAGTACCTGGCAGTAGTCTCCTGCATTTATCTCCTCCTTCTATGTCATCAGTCCTTTCCCTGCCCATCATCTTCGTTCCTCACCTCAGGTTGTGCTCCAGAGGAGTTTGGGGCAGAATCCAGGGGATTTGGGGCAGAATCTCTGAAGCCATTGAGAGATAATCTTACCAACCACAGAGAAAAATTTCTCTTTTTGTGATTATAATTACATTAGGATAAATTTCTTCCCTGAAAGGGTCCTCAGGCACTGACAAAGGTTGCCCAGGACACTGGGGGAGTCCCCATATCTGGAGGGGTTCTAAAGCCATGTAGATGTGGTGCTGGGGACACGGTTTAGTGGTGGCCTTGGCAGTGCTGGGGTAATGGTTGGACTTGATGATCTAAGGGTCTTTTCCAACCAAAATGATTCTATGAAATTCAGCAGACTTGGAGTGCATCTGGAGTATATCTAAACTACCTCTTGGAGTCACAGCTTAAGCACCTCTTCTGTGAAGACAGACTGAGAAGGTTGAGGTTGTTTAGCCTGGAGAAGGATCCAGGAGAGACCTTAGAGCACCTTCCTGTACCTGAAGGGGCTACAGGAAAGCTGAGAAAGAACTCTTGACAAGGGCAGGGAGTGATGGGATGAGGAGGAACGGTTTTGAGGTAGAAGAAGGGAGATTAAGATGAGATTTTGGGAAGAAATTATTTGCTGTGAGGGTGGTGAGACACTGGCCCAGGTTGCCCAGAGCAGCTGTGCCTGCCCCATCCCTGGGAGTGTTGAAGGCCAGGTTGGATGGGACTTGGAGCACCCTGGTCTGGTGGAAGGTGTCCCTGCTCATGGCAGGGAATAGAACTCTATGATCTTTAAGGTCTCTCCAACCCAAACTAGTCTGGGATTCAATGACTCTATGTAGGCAGTACCTGAGTGACCCTTGGGACTGTCACTCCCCACCTGTCAGGGGCTTTGGGGAGCTCCAGAAATTTGTCCTAGGAAGGCACTGGCTCCCATGATGCAAAGCTGCTCACAGGGCTCATGGAGCAGCACAACAGTGATGCAGTGGGTTTGGCTGGAAGAAAACATAAAGTAAAAAAACTTGGAGAAGTCACTATTTTAGTAATAAATAGAAATACATAATATATATTTAAAATTTATTAAATATATAAAAATAAGTTAGAAAAGGGACCTTCAGCAGAGCCTGGGTTGCCCCGCAGAACTCTGGATGGTTCCTGCAGCCTGCAAGATGGAAGATCAGATGGAAAGCAGTTGACAGGTCCTTCTGCAGCACAAGCCTGGGAAGGTCACCCTGCCCCTTCCTGGGGTGTTTCCAACTTGAGCAGCGAGGTGATGAGCATGAGGTACAACCTGGTGGGTCAGATCCAGCCGCGGGGGCTGCAGCCACCACTGCAGGGTCCTTCCACAGCTTCTACCCATCGTGCGTCGCATGTTGCTCAAACTGGGAGCGTTTTGGTGAAGCTTCTTGCCTTCTGCCTTTTGGGTTGTTGTGTTGTTTTTTTCACAACTATTTTTAAGACGTTGACTCTCCAACATAAGCAGGTAAGAACGTGGTGTCTGGTGTTTCCCGCGCAGGCGCAGGCAGCAGGCTCAGCACACTCCTCGCCCACCCACGGCGCCGGCCACCCCATGCCCATGCCTGTCAGATCCACCTCCGCCGGCTCCACCCCCACCCATGGCCCACAGGACACGCTGGCAGGTCTCAGGGGAGATGTGCAGGAAGCTTTCACACAAGGTGGGTGTCACCCCGAGCAAAACTACATCTGATGTCAATCCGACTTGTGAAAGAGGGGAGAGCAGAGCAGAGGAAGAACTGTTGCTGTGGGTGGTGGCCTTAGCAGTTCTGGGTCAACTGTTGGACTTGATGATCTGAAAGGAGTTTTCCAACCAAAATGATTCTAGGATGAGATGCTGGCTCAGGTTGCCCAGAGAGGTGGTAGATGCCCCATCCCTGGCAACATTCCAAGTGAGGTTGGATGGGGCTCTGAGCAACCTGCTCTAGTTGAAGATGTCCCTACTCACTGCAGGGGGTTGGACCAGATGACCTTTAAAGGTCACTTGCACCCAAACCAGTCTGATTTGACAATTCTATGTACAACAGACGCATAACTCACCAATACTGAGAATGATTATGAACCCCTTTCCTGTGCTCTAGACCAAAAGGATTTGGGGCACATTTTTAATCTGTACAACTCAATGAAATTACTTCCATGAGGATGATCTTCCCTCCAGGGAAGGAATATTCCATCCCAAAAAGTTACACCAAGGAGTAATGTAACAGGTGTTAAAAAGTGGTCATATTTCCAAATCTGTTGTTTGAACTGTGCTGTGATAAGGGAAGAGAAGGGAAGGGAAGGGAAAAAGGGAAGGGAAGGGGAAAAGGGAAGGGAAAGGAAAGAGGAGGAGAAGAGAGAAGAGTAAGAGGAGGAGAAGAGAGAAGAAGAGTAAGAGGAGGAGAAGAGAAAGTGGAGGAGAAGAGAAAGTGGAGGAGAAGGAAGAGGGAAAGACCATAAGGAAGTAGAAGGACACACAGGACAATGAACTTTTTCTTGCTCCAGTCGTCAGAGCTCCTTCTTTTGTATCTTTTCTACCTCTGTGTTAGAAAAAAGTCTCACTTTCTGGCCTAAACACATTGCTGCCAACTGCTCCATGGGTAGCCAGGAGATGTGCTGGATTATGGGGTCCAGCCATAGTCCTCTCTGTCCACCTTGGCCTCCAGTTCTTTGGTGGCACCGGTGGGGTTGGCTTGGATGGGTAAGCTGTCCCTTTGTGGATAGTTCAGCTCATCGTAGAAAAACAGGCCAGAAGTTGACATAGATATTTTGATTCCCAAGGCTCTGTAGGCAGTGTGAGGTTATACTTAGATGCTGGTGCTTTTTAAAAAAAGTTCTACAGTCATGAGTTCCAAACTGCTCCATCTCAAAGCCATTGTGGGCTCAAGAATGGCTCCAAAATTTGCAGACAACCAGATGAAATGGAAGTTTATTCAGCTCCATGCGGACCACCACCATGTCCTCAAATGCTGAAGAGACTTGACTACCTGGTGATAGTGGAAGGTGTCAAACAAGGACGCGACTGGGCCAGTGCCAAGAAACTCAGCAAATCTATTTTTATGTTCAGGGACCATCTCACTGCAAAGGAAGGGAAAATCAGTTCTGCTTCAGTCTTACTTGCTTCCATTCTGCTCCTCGTGAAGGAAGCCACTTCCAGTAGGAAAAGGTCTGCATACTCTGTGTTTCTCAGGAGTAGCATCACTTGAGGTTTATGACCTCTTTTCTTCTCTTTTGCCCATGTTGGTCCAGAACTCATTATCTTTAGTTCTCCAGAAGCATCCTGGGGATGTAGAGCTGTGAGAAAAACTGCAGCAGGACCTGGTATCCTCAGGTGCCTCTGGCAGACACAAAGGTTATTTCTGAATATGGTCCACCTTTCTGGAGGTAGACATCCACTCCTAGTTTATATTCTTCTTATTGACAAGAAAAGAAAAAAGGGCGAAAGATCCACCTCTCCCTAAGGCACTGGGCAAGGACTTGACAGTTGGACATTGACTTGAACAGTTGGACATTGGAAGGGAAGTGGTGGATGCCCCAACACAGGACAGTTTTAAGACTCAACTTACAAGGTGCTGAACCATCACATCTAAACCATATTCCTGCCTAGAAAAGTTGGACCAGATGATCTTTGAAGTTTCTTCCACCACAGCATTCAATGATTCTATGACCAGTTTGCAGGCAGAGACAACTGACGGGCAGCAAATCTTCATGTGGACCTCTAGGTACTCCTTGGGAAGTCCCACTGGGTGGTGGCCACCTAAGCCTGTAGTGCCAGGGTGCTGCAGCCCCTCATGTGCATTGGTTCTTGGCAGTGAAGAAGCCCTTGCTCCAGGGCCCAGATTGGTTATTTCTTTAAAAGATGACAAGTTGTGCCATGAAGAGTCACAACACTAGAGGTGCTGGTTTCTCATTCTGGGTAGCGGAGACCATGAATCTAAGTGTCAAATACCCGTGTCAGATGGACAGTCTCCTTTTCAAAAGGCGTGAAACATGAAAATAAACTTCCAAGAACTGATGATGTATCTCAAAACCAAACAGATTCTAAATAACAGTTTGCATTTATCAGCTGCTCGTTGGATATATCCTTCTAGAGTGATCTTCCTTGCCCAAATCAGCTGCTGCTAAACAAAGGTGAGCAGAGAGGCTACAAAATGGAAGCAGAGGAGCAGGAAATACCAAAAAGTGAATCCTTTCAGCTGGTATTTGGTGCCTGGAGCTGCAGCAAAGCCTGCAAGGCCTTAGCCCCCAGCACGCTCAGCAGAGGAACAGCTGATGATTGTTCTCCGGAACTTCAGCTGGTGAACAGGTCAGGTGATGGAGGACATCCAGTCTGAAAACACCAAGTGTCTCCAGCTCATCTGGGAGAAGAAGTCTTTTTCCCATCCCATCGGTAGGAACAAGCTCCTCATCTCTAAACACTTCCAGACCCGACGGCAGGAGCAGGCATTCCCAGGGAGGCAGGATGCCAAATACCAGCGGCACAGCGCTCCATCTGCTGCCGTGGGTGGTCCAGCCGCCTCCTCTTCATCTCCACAACAAGTTTGATGGTACAGCCGAGAGCTCTCAACTGATCTCTTTGGCAGCTGCCTCTCCTTCCCCCCTGCTCTGCAGATCCCTTGTCTCATTCCAGGCTGAGCAAAGTGGAACGGCAGCACCGTGAGTCCCACCAGCCAGGAGGAAAAGCTGCTCCGTCAGCTCCAGCATCCTCCCCTTACCTTTTTTAACAGGGAAAGCACAAAGGGATGGAATGATCTCCCGTCTGCTGCCCAGAGTAACGAACACGTGATTGTAGTGGTGCCTTGACTGGCCTCCTTGGCTGTTGTTTTTTTTCATTTTCAGTCTTGCTGTGCCATCCACATTTGCTCTCTCTCCATCTGCTTTTTTCCCCGGAGATGCAGGCAGGAGTCATTGCAAAGCGAACTTCTCCAGAGCCATCTTCCCCCAGCTCGTGGCTCCAGCAGAAGCTGATGTCACTAATCAAGGGCTCATTCATGCCTTGTTTGTTTTTTTCTTTTTTTTTTTTAACCTAAATGGCTGGTTCGTCAGGGGAGGCTTCGTCCAGACCTGTTGCTATTGCCCAAAGTGAAAACTTGGGGTTTTTTTCTAGATTCTTAACACCTGACAGAAGCTCAAATATCTGCTGCAATGAACCAGGTGTTGTAGAAATTCTTCAGGGCTGGGCTAAGGACTGGTGGTGGCGACAGTGACAAGTCCCCAGAAGCAAAACATCTCTTGGCTACACTAATTTTATGGGCTTTTTTAACAAAAACATTTATGTTATTGTTGCTACCTTCTGCATATCCACCAGATTCTTACAAAATGTCACGGAGGGAGAGAGGAGGAAATGAAAGCAAAGGTCTTGTTACTGGTTACTTGTTACTGCTGTCATGTCCTAGGAGCAGGCAGGGACACCAACATCTTGTCTCTCCTCCTAGGGCACAAGTCTTCTGTGAGCTTCCCCATCAGGGCTGGAAGGTCTAGAGAAGGGAAACTCCAAACAGTTGAATCCTAGGGATCTTCATCATAGACACTTAAGATTAGATACATTTCCTCCAAAGGTGACCTCTTGATCTTCCACTTGGCCAGAAGGAGAAGGCAGTAATACAGTAGGAGAAAAAAGTGCCTCAGTGGTTTAAATACTCCAATTCCATCATCTAATGAGAAAACTAATCCTGCTGTTTATTGTCTGGAAAGAGAAGAAAACAGAAAATAAAACAATCCACTGCTGCCAACAGAAGTTCCTCTTGTGATAACCACAGCAGTATAGCAGCTTTTTCATCTACTAGAAGAAATCTTGCAAGAAAAAAAAAACAGCCAACAGACTCCATAATAAGTTTCCTGGAATGATCCTTCTGGAAATGCAGTCTGCACAATTAGTGCTATTTCATATTAATCAGGCAGAATCAGGCAAATTCAAAGGCAAGTGAAGAGCACAGGAAACAGGATAAGATTTCCATGTTTTCACATAATAAAATAATTGAATGCCACCAGCCAGGAGGGCTTGGGTGGCCTCTGCGTGTAGATGTCCAGGCAAGCTCATTAACATGATTCCTCTGTTTCACGGGGGCGACGGGCTGGAATTTTACAACAGTTCAGAGCAGTGGCCATGCTTCACTATCCCATGCAGAGACAGGACTGAGGACATCCAGAAACCTGGATAAAGTGGTCTCTGTTATGTAAAAGGTGCTGAGGAGTCCTCCAAGTCACAGGTCCTGAGCATGTTGGCCAAAATTTTCATATTTTTTTTCTGGGAATTGTACACTTCATCCCCAGCAGCACGACCAACAGAGCGGGGAAGGGGATTGTCTCCCTCTGCTCCACTCCAGTGAGACCACCCCTTCAGTGCTGGGTCCAGTTCTGGGGTCCCCAACACAAGAAGGACATGGAGCTGTTTGAATGGGTCCAGAGGAGGCCACAGAGATGATGTGAGGGCTCTGGAGACAGGCTGAGAAAGTTGGGGTTGTTCAGCCTGGAGAAGAGGAGGCTCCAGGGAGAACTTATAACACCTTCCAGTGCCTGAAGGGGCTACAGGAAAGCTAGAGAGGGAGTTTTGACAAGGGCATGGAGTGATGGGATGAGGGGGAACGGTTTCAAGCTGCAAAGTTAGGAGATTGAGATGAGATCTGAGGCAGAAATTCTTTGCTGTGAGGGTGGTGAGACCCTGGCCCAGGTTGCCCAGAGCAGCTGTGGCTGCCCCATCCCTGGCAGTGTTCAAGGCCAGGCTGAATGGGGCTTGGAGTAAGCTGGTCTAGTGGGAGGTGTCTCTGTCCATGGCAGGGGGCTGGAGCTAGATGATCTTTAAGTTCCCTTCCCACCCAAACCAGTCAGGGATTGGTTGAATTGATGAATACTGGTTCTCCTGGATGGATGGGCATGGAGAATCAGAACAGGTGGTGGAGAAGATCATTACCTCCCAGGTCTCAGCCAGAGGTGATAAACATCACCTGACATGCAGCAACTCCTGCCCTCCCTCCATCCCCTGTACACACAGCAGTCATTTTGATGGTCCCTCACTGGTCCCAGTCATCCTTGCTAAGCAGTGGCAGATGTTCAGGATGGTGAGGGCGTGAGTGGGTCCCTCCAGCAGCCACTCACACAAGACCAGTGTGTAGGCAGGTCAGTATCACAGCGGGGGACAGCAAGGTGCCATCCCCCAGCCATGCAGCACAGCGAGGAGGAGGAGGCTTGCTTCCTCTGGTGACACAGGAGGAGAGCTGCGTCCCAAGGGGGTCCCACGTGGGGGCTGGTAAAGGATGCAGGGCTGAGCATGGTGGGATGAGGAGGTTGGGCAGCAGCTATGCGAGCATGTGTGATTCCTGCTCTTGATGTGTCCCCTCTGCTCCCAGGTACGAGGAGGAACCTCCGCAATGACCTGCTGGTAGCAGCCGATTCCATCACCAACACCATGTCATCCCTGGTGAAGGAGCTTCATTCTGGTAAGACTAAATTTAGGGGCAGTAGGAAAAGAGGAGCTTTGAAGCCACATGTTAGAGATTTGTCTTTAGATTTGGGGGCATTTTATATAAAAGCTATTCAAACTAATGCAGGATGCTGTGTCCACTTTTTTCAATGAGAAAGTGAGCACTTTTGTAGCTGACATCACTGAAAGCCCCAAATATCTTCTGAGCAGGTTTCCATTGATCTGATCACCGATAGTTGAGGTGATGCACTGCAGATACAGACCAGGCTGGTAGCCCACTGGGGATTCCTGACTCACACCCAGCTCCCGCTGCCTCTATCGATCCCTGTGTTTTTAATAGCACTGAGCAGCTTTTCCAAAGAACCCTGAAGGCATCTCCTCGACCTTCCTGAGCAGGAGAAGTGCCACTTCCCAATCCCACTCTGAAGGCCAGAGCTCCTGAACACGACCACCCAGGTTTGTGAGTCTCCCCAAAGTTCTGCTCAGTGCCAGTGATGCCGATGAGGCTCCTCTGCTGTGAATCCCCATGAGATGCCATCATCACAAACACGTAGTCATCACAAACATATACAACAAATGTACACGAGGCCAGTTGCAGCAAAGGATTAAGCAGCAACATGGAAAAAAAGATAATTATTCCCTTCGTGCCTTTTTACTCGCCCGGTGGAGGTAAACACCTTGATGGGCCCAAGCAGCTTCTGCTGCAGCCCAGGGACATGTCCTGTGGCTCCCCAGCTTCCTTGGTGATAGAGTAAACCATCCTGTAGGATACCAGCAGCTTGTTTCTGCTCTGCCTTCTCTTTTAAGGGAGCAGAAAAGCCTTCTGTGTTCAGCCTGAGCCTCACAGTTCCCGTGAGGTTTCTTCCACTCCTCCCCCAGCCCCTTGTTCTCTCCAGTAGTTGCATCACATAATCCCCCCCCATTAAAAAGAGCACAACAAAAACCCAACAAATAACTGTATTAAAACCAGTTGGTCTTTTTTTTTCATTCCCACTGTCCTTGGTGGAGAAGTCAGTTATAAACTGGGTTGATATTTGACTGCTGAGCAGTAAATCCAGCCAGCCCAAAGCCCAGCCCGTGGGCTGCAGAGGTAGCTGGGGGTTAATAAAGTCTCCCATGTGTGACGGCAGCATTGCCGGTGCCGTCGCAGCGGTCGGGCAATAAATCACCCAGCCCAGGAGGCACAGAACTCTCCCCTCCAGGCTGGGGCCTGGCGAGCAAACCCTCTGCCCAGAGCAGATGTCATCAGGAGTTTTCTATGGTTTTTTTGGCAGAGCTGGGTCAGGGGCTGGAGCTGCAGCTCACCTGCCCTCCACCACAAGGCTGGCAGAGGCAAAGAGCCATGTTTCCGCTGTCAACCCTTGGTGGACACAACCTCCTAGGGGTCATGCAAAGCTGTTAGGAGTTCACAAGGGAGTAAAAATGGGATTAATTACAGACTCCTGCTGGAGGATGTGCAGATACTATGGAAAGTTCCCTTGAAAGGAGTGAGTCCAGAGGAGGCCACAAAGTGATGTAAGAGTTGGAGCAGCTCTGCTCTGGAGACAGGCTGAGAGAACTGGGAGAAGAGAAGGCTCCAGGAAGACATTAGAGACCCTTCCAGGACCTAAAGGGGCTACAGGAAAGCTGGGGAGGGACTTTTGACAAGGGCAGGGAGCGATGGGATAAAGGGTGATGGCTTTAAACTGGAAGAGGGGAGATTTAGATTAGACATTAGGAAGAAATTCTTTGCTGTGAGGGTGGTGAGACACTGGCCTAGGTTGCCCAGAGCAGCTGTGGCTGCCCCATCCCTGGCAGTGTTGAAGGCCAGGCTGGATGGGACTTGGAGCAAGCTGGTCTGGTGAGAGGTGACCTTACCATGGCAAAGGGTTGGAACTAGATGGCCTTTAGGGTCTCTTCCAGCCCAAACAGCTCTGTGATTCTGTGAAATTATCTGAAATTATCTCATTTATGTACATGAGGCAATGCATGAGTTATCCTCAGCTGATGGGCGCCGGAGGGATTTAACACACATTGTCCCAGAAGTAGACACCTCTTCCAGCCCTGGGCTTGCCCAATATAGCTGCAGGGTTTGGGAAGGCACCAGGGGGCAGGGGGGGCAGCACCCATGCCTGTCATTGCCTCTCCAAACCTTTGCTTCCAGGATGCTAAGAAAACAGGTTCATCGAATCACAGAACCATTTTGCTTGGAAAAGACCCTTAAGATCATCCAGTCCAACTGTTCACTCAGCACTGCCAAGGCCACCACTAAACCGTGTCCCTCAGCACCACATCTACACAGCTTTGAAATCCCTCCAGGGATGGGGACTCCACCACTGCCCTGGGCAGCCTGGGCCAGAGCCTGGCAACCCTTTCCGTAAAGAAATTGTCCCCAGTATCCAATCTAAACCTCCCCTGGCACAACTTGAGGCCATTTCCTCTTGTCCTGTTGCTTGTTCCTTGGAAGAAGAGGCCAACGCCACCTCCCTCCAGCCTCCTTTCAGAGGGTTGCAGAGAGCAAGGAGGTCTCCCCTCAGCCTCCTTGTCTCCACACTACCCCAGCCCACTCCTGTGGACAACGCAGACACTGTTCCCAGTCCCTGGTCATCCCACCAGGATGCAGTGGGCAGTGTTTTGCTGGCAGTGACCAGGCACTTGCCACAGAAGGGATGGTGATGCTTCCATCCAGGCCCTCAAGCGTCCTCCTTCCCTTCCAGTGGCAGTTCCTGGTGAGCCAGTTCTTCCTTGCTGCAGAGAAGTTCCCTAGGTCTCTGACCTCTCACTCTCTTCACTCTCTTGTCTCATGTGTCCTTTTTTCCTTTTTTTTTGAAGCAGAGGAAGAAGATGAAGAAGAAACAGAGAAAATGCAGAATGGGAAGGAGCAAGGTAAGGGGACAAAGGATGGTCTCTGAATTGTAAAGCATGTTCTGATCTGCTCCTCTGCAGGAGATCTGCTTTCCATCTCCGTTTGGAGCCCTGGAAGGTGGCTCCAGGTGGAAGCAGCTCCTGTGGCTGCTGTCACATCACCCGCAGACACGGGACAGGTTTTTCTGCCTGCTCTGGTCTTCACCACAATGTCAGGTCGCCCTCTCCAACATCTGCTATAGCTTGAGATGCCATCATGGCCAGGGTTCCTCCAACCCATGTGCTCAGCTTCCATAGCCAGGGTTCCTTCAGCCATGTGCTCAGCTTCCAAGAATATTTTTCTTTTGGCAAAGGTCACACACAGACCTTTGGAACAAGTAAGAGAGGAGGAGCTGCTCTGAGTGAGAAGCCCAGTTCACATGAATGTGTTAAAAAAACCACCCAAGCACAGACTGGTTACCAGTGAAGTTCCTGAGAGATGGGACTGTCATCTGCTGAGCCATGGCCTCCTGTGACCTTAGCTGGACAAATGTTCAGTGTGACTCTGCTGATGATAATCCCACGTGGGCAGAGCCATGGGCTGAAGGTGGTTCCACAGGAGGTGTCTTTCATCTCTGATCTCCCTGGACTGCATGCCTGGATGAAAATCCTCCCCAGATCATGTCTGCCTTTGGCACGAAGGAATGCATAGCACCTGCTGGTGGAGTTATTCCGGGGGCTGGAAGTGATCGTATCTGGCATGGAGGGCAGCCCTGAGATGTGCCAACAAGCATGCAGTGTAGGGTTGAGTTGAAGGGGTCTGCAGGAGATGGGTTCCTCCTGCCACGGAGGGGTCTGCAGGTTTCTCACACTGCACTCTGCCAGCAAAGGAACAAGCCCTTCCCCAGCCCTCCTCAGGAGGGACCTTGCTCAGGGAACCCTTAGCTTATGCTTCCTACCTTTTAACCCAAACACTACAAATAGACTGGGACAGGTTTGAATGACCCAAACATTCCAGTCTGGCTGGAGCCAAAGCTCACCAGCCAATGCTGAGTCCCTTTTCTGCCGCATGCTGGTGAGGCTGTGGTGACAGTGCTCCTGTTTCCCACCCCAAGAGCTTTGAGTTTTCCTGATTTGTTCTGCCCTGCAAAGAGTTCAGGTACTTGAAAACGCTTCCTGGTGGTTTGTCCATCATTGTTGGATGTTGTGAGTTCACAGGAAGGAGCACAGAAAGTGAGATTGTAGCTAAAAAAGGGGTTTTGAGGCAGAATCACATCGGCTCAAAATCTCAGGGCTCTCCTTGCCCTGGAACATTCCTCCTCAGTTAAATATTTCAGATGCTTGGCAGATGACCCTGATGCTTTTTTCCAGATGCTCCCAGTCATCTGCCTGGGAAATAGGGGAAGAGGGATTTGGAGGGGTCGGAATACAACGTCTGGAAGCAGGGATGGATTGAGACAACCTCAGCTCTGTCACTGCTTGGAGTCCAGGCAGGGACATAAAACTGAAAGCAGAACCTGAGCCAAAAGCCTTCTCATGGAATGTCAATGTTATCCCTGCCAGTGAGGAGGGGATTTCTCCATGTCACAACCCCAGGGAGATAAAAATCTGGCAGAAAAGTCAAGGAATCATCAATCAAAAGTGGCAGCCATGGGAGCTCTTCCAAACACCAACACAGAGAGGGGCTCTGGGTTTGAGTGGGTTGTGTTTTGCGTGGGCATCACAAATGCACTGGTTCTCTGTCCCGACTTACCCACAGGGACCCATGGCCCACAGTCACTGTTCCCTGTGGTCCTGCTGCCTTTCTCCAAGACAACACACTCCTTTTGGGGACCAGAGGGTAGCCCCATGGCAGTGGCACCTCAAACAAGACTCTTCATAAGCTGGTCCCTTTGGCCATTTGAGTTTTATAACACCCAAACAACTAGAGAAGGGACTGAAGAGCTGTCACCTGCTCTGTCAACCTGCTGGAGGAAAGTGTGGCTGGAAATCCCATAATATTTGGTCACCAAAAATCCACAATTTGAAGCATACCTGCCCATACTGATGTAAACTGGATTCTGTGCAGCCACTTGTTCCTGGAGGACAGGAATGAGTCTGTCCTCAGAATGAGGTTGCAGATGACACCAAGCTGGCAGGAGCAGCTGGCTCATGCTGCTGTCCTGAGGGACCTCAACAGTCTGGAGAAGCAGGCTGGCAGGAACCTCCTGCATCTCAACAAGGAGAAGTGCAAAGTCCTTGAACAGCTTCAGGCCCCAGGATGGGCTAGAGGCCACCTGCACACAGGGAAGATCCTGAGGATGCTTGTGAACCCCAAGCTGACCATGATGCAGCAACGTGCAATGAAGGTGAATTGTTTCCTGAGCTGGCAAAACATTGCCAGTGAGGAGAGGGCATCTTCTTTTCTTGGCACTGGTAAGGCCACCCCAGGAATGCTGTGTCCACTGCTGGGCTCTCCAGTCCAAGAGATACATGGACAGACAGGGAGAGTCCAGGGAGGGCCATGGCAATGATCAAGGCACAGGATCTGTCATAGGAGGAGCCTCTGCCATGAACATCAAAACCACTTCTTCACCCTGTGGCTGGTCCAACACTGGCACAGGTTGCCCAGAGAGGTCATGGGGTCTCCACTCTTGGAGATACCAGACACCTGGTAGGAGGAGGTCCTGAGCAGGTCCCTGCTATGATTGAGGAGAGGGCTGGGCAATCCCTGGGATTTCTGGGATTTGGGATGAGAAGCACTGTTCTACCTGCTGTGCATCCTTGAGGAGCTGCCATGTGTCCCGTAGGAGTTGCCATTCCTCCCCAGGAAGCTCTCTGCTATCCTGAGGAGTCACCACTGGAGCAGCACAGGGTGGGGAGGGCAGGAATTTTATTTCTTGTAAAAATTCCCTATTTCTAGAGGTGCCTTTTCCCTCTCTTGCAGGTTAAGGATGGACGTGGATGACACCATTGTTCAGGTGAGGACAGGTGGCTTCATTCAGCAGCACAGGACCAAGTCCTGGGTCATCTCCTGCCCTGGTCCTTCATCTCCTGTTTCTGCACAAGGCGAGGAGAGTTCCCCCTGCCCATGGCCTGTCCAAAGCACCATTTTTACCTGGAAGAGGGGAGACCAGATCTAAGGAAGGAATTGTTTACATTGAGGGTGGTGAGACACTGGCCCAGGTTTCCCAGAGAGGTGGGAGATACCCCATCCCTGAAACCATTCTAGGTCAGGTTGGACGGAACTCTGAGTGACCTGCTCTAGTTGAAGATGTCCCTGCTCTCTGCAGGGGGTTTGAATACATGGCCTTTGGAGATGCCTTCCAACCTGAGCCATTCTGTGGTTCCATGTTGAGTTTTTCATGTTAAGACCCAGTTTTGCTCCTGCTGCTGATGGTGAGAAAACATCATTAACTGCAGTGAGAGCAGAAGTACCTCCTGTTTTCATCCAGTCCCAGACTGGTTTGGGTGGGAAGGGACCTTTAAAGGCCATCTAGTCCAATCCCCCTGCAGTGAGCAGGAACATCTTCAACTAGAGCAGGTTGCTCCAAGTCCCATCCAACCTGACCTGGAATGTTTCCAGGGATGGGGCATCTACCACTTCTCTGGGCAACCAGGGCCAGTGTCTCACCACCCTCACAGGAAATAATTTTTCCCTTCTCTCTAGTCTGAATCTCCCCTCTTTCAGTTTAAAACCATCACCCCTTGTCCTATCCTTACAGGTCCTGCCAAAAGGTCCATCCCCACCTTTCGCAGAAGGCCCTTTAAGGACTGACAGTATTTTTATGGGTATTTCTTATGTGCTGAGAGGCCTCAGCCAGGAAATGGGACCCTGTTGTGATGGACACTGTGCAGATGCCCTAAAAATATGATCTCTGCCCTCCAAGAACCTGCTCTTTTAAGTTATAACAAGGCACAACAGATAGGTGGACAAACAGGTGGTTGGAGAGCAGGAGATGATGGGAAGGGCAAGAGCTGGGAACCTGTGGTGACAATGCCTCAGGAGGACCTCAGTGAGATCCCACCCTGCCCCATCTGAAGAGCTTGTAGGAGGGCAAGGGCAGGTTCCCCAACTACCATAGTCTGGATGTGTTTCTCAACCACAATTCCCACCTTTTCCCATTCCCGGTGGGAAGCAGGAGGATTCTCCTGGCAGAGAATTGTCCCATGGACATGCACGTCATTAGCCAGAGAAGGCTGGGGAGCAGCACAGGAGTTGACCTTCTTTCTGGGACCATTTCCCTCATGCTGTAGGTTGGTTAGCTGTAGAAACCAGACAAGGAGAAAACTTTTTCTCTTTAACTTACCAGCTCAGACCCAGCCGATGAACAAGCCCTGAGGGATCTCAAACACAACTTGTCATGATGAAACCACCACAGTTGCCCTCTAAAGGTCATGTGCAAAGGAGGGGGGAAAAAAAAAGACGGGGTTGCCCTTTTTGCTGCCCTGCCATTCAAGCGCAGGGTGGAGATAACCCTGGGGGCTGGAGGAGTTTCACTGATGGGCTTTTACATTAGAAATTCAAGTCCTGCCTCATCTGGGAAACAATCTGGTAACCCAAGAAGGAGTGAAACGATCCCATGAGCCAGGAGGCCGGCAGTGCAGAGCTGCTTTTTGTTCATGTGCCTTTAAATGGCTCTAGAGAAGAGGGTGGCTTTCAGCCTGGTCACCCCTTAGCTGCTGATCTGGGGGTGAGAAGCTCCCAGTTGCCCCAGAAGCCCAGCAGTGCCTCCACAACACCACCAAGTGCCAGCGCTGAAAATCCAAGATGAAGAAACAGCTGTCAGGTCTCCTTATCCTCCAGAAAGCATGAAAACAGACATGTCAGTAAGAGAAAAATAATCCTTGAGCCTGTGGTGGTTCATCTCCAAGTTCCCTACATTCCACTTTGGGCTGTTAGAACATGGAATGGGGTCCTCCTAGACCATGCTGGTGGCAGGGACAGGCCAAGCTGGACCAGTGGCTCCAGCTGCCCGTTTGCTCTGGTTGCCCACGGATGATGGAGGGGGCTGGAGTGGGCAGCATCATCAAGGGCTTTCTCTTAACAGATCTTGCCTTTTCTGGGGGAATTGCAGCCAGCACCAACCTCACCTTGGCTTGCAAAGTCAAGTGTGGACCTTGGGACCATGGTGTCCTGGTGTCGTTTACATAGGAGCTCGGGTTTCCTCTGTTTCATGAGTTGTTTGAGGTCCAAGGTGAGGAGCTCTGAGCCCAGCAGGACATTCAATGGTCATGGACAGGGGATGGTGCTGGAAGCTTGGTCCCCTCAGAATTTGCTGGGGATGTCCCCAGGGATGTACAGTTCCCAAGCAGAAGATTCAGGAGGTCCCTATGCAGGAGCTTGACTCATCTTCTGTAAACATGCAGGAGCTGGTCTCCAAAGCTCATGCTGATGGCACATTGTATGTTTCTGTGATAGGCTTAAGCTGAAAGAGGGGAGATTTAGGTGAGACGTTAAGAAGAAACTCTTTGCTGTGAGGGTGGTGAGACCCTGGCCCAGGTTGCCCAGAGCAGCTGTGGCTGCCCCATCCCTGGAAATGTTCAAGGCCAGGTTGGATGGGGCTTGGAGCAACCTGGTTTAGTGGGAAGTGTCCTTGCCCATGGCAGGGGGGTTGGGACTAGATGATCTTTAAGGTCCCTCCAACCCAAGCTGTTTGGTGACTCTGTGATTGGCTGATTCCCATGGCACAGGTGTGGAGTTTCACCCCATCCTCAGGCGTTCCAGCTGACACATCCACCATCGTGCAACCTCCCACCTTTTCCCATTCCCGGTGGGAAGCAGGAGGATTCTCCTGGCAGAGAATTGTCCCATGGACATGCACGTCATTAGCCAGAGAAGGCTGGGGAGCAGCACAGGAGTTGACCTTCTTTCTGGGACCATTTCCCTCATGCTGTAGGTTGGTTAGCTGTAGAAACCAGACAAGGAGAAAACTTTTTCTCTTTAACTTACCAGCTCAGACCCAGCCGATGAACAAGCCCTGAGGGATCTCAAACACAACTTGTCATGATGAAACCACCACAGTTGCCCTCTAAAGGTCATGTGCAAAGGAGGGGGGAAAAAAAAAGACGGGGTTGCCCTTTTTGCTGCCCTGCCATTCAAGCGCAGGGTGGAGATAACCCTGGGGGCTGGAGGAGTTTCACTGATGGGCTTTTACATTAGAAATTCAAGTCCTGCCTCATCTGGGAAACAATCTGGTAACCCAAGAAGGAGTGAAACGATCCCATGAGCCAGGAGGCCGGCAGTGCAGAGCTGCTTTTTGTTCATGTGCCTTTAAATGGCTCTAGAGAAGAGGGTGGCTTTCAGCCTGGTCACCCCTTAGCTGCTGATCTGGGGGTGAGAAGCTCCCAGTTGCCCCAGAAGCCCAGCAGTGCCTCCACAACACCACCAAGTGCCAGCGCTGAAAATCCAAGATGAAGAAACAGCTGTCAGGTCTCCTTATCCTCCAGAAAGCATGAAAACAGACATGTCAGTAAGAGAAAAATAATCCTTGAGCCTGTGGTGGTTCATCTCCAAGTTCCCTACATTCCACTTTGGGCTGTTAGAACATGGAATGGGGTCCTCCTAGACCATGCTGGTGGCAGGGACAGGCCAAGCTGGACCAGTGGCTCCAGCTGCCCGTTTGCTCTGGTTGCCCACGGATGATGGAGGGGGCTGGAGTGGGCAGCATCATCAAGGGCTTTCTCTTAACAGATCTTGCCTTTTCTGGGGGAATTGCAGCCAGCACCAACCTCACCTTGGCTTGCAAAGTCAAGTGTGGACCTTGGGACCATGGTGTCCTGGTGTCGTTTACATAGGAGCTCGGGTTTCCTCTGTTTCATGAGTTGTTTGAGGTCCAAGGTGAGGAGCTCTGAGCCCAGCAGGACATTCAATGGTCATGGACAGGGGATGGTGCTGGAAGCTTGGTCCCCTCAGAATTTGCTGGGGATGTCCCCAGGGATGTACAGTTCCCAAGCAGAAGATTCAGGAGGTCCCTATGCAGGAGCTTGACTCATCTTCTGTAAACATGCAGGAGCTGGTCTCCAAAGCTCATGCTGATGGCACATTGTATGTTTCTGTGATAGGCTTAAGCTGAAAGAGGGGAGATTTAGGTGAGACGTTAAGAAGAAACTCTTTGCTGTGAGGGTGGTGAGACCCTGGCCCAGGTTGCCCAGAGCAGCTGTGGCTGCCCCATCCCTGGAAATGTTCAAGGCCAGGTTGGATGGGGCTTGGAGCAACCTGGTTTAGTGGGAAGTGTCCTTGCCCATGGCAGGGGGGTTGGGACTAGATGATCTTTAAGGTCCCTCCAACCCAAGCTGTTTGGTGACTCTGTGATTGGCTGATTCCCATGGCACAGGTGTGGAGTTTCACCCCATCCTCAGGCGTTCCAGCTGACACATCCACCATCGTGCAACCGCGGCCGAGCTCAACCACCTGCTGCTGAGAGCGGCTTCCTCCCAACCACCCGGAGAGGAGGGTCCCCGCCAGCACTTGCCTCTTAGGTCATTGCATGTCCCGTTCCACGTGTTCACTAATGAGGATCAGACAGTGCCCCATCAAACTCACCAATTTATGGGGAGAAAAAAGAAAAAAAGAAAAAAAAAGAAGATGCTCCGTGTGTGGTTTTTATTCCCTCCTGCCTCTCAATGTGCATGAACAAAGGAGCATGAAGTCCCCTGGGTCCCCTCACATGTGACATGGGGGGGTCCTGCTGTCACCAACCCACCTTCTTCCAACCCCACTGTCTCCCTGTCTGGTCACCGTCACGTATGATGTCTCTTGTTGCCCCAGGACATGTCACCAGTGGCCATGAGCCACTGCCTGCAGCCTTCCTGCTTCTGCTGCTCTTCAGACTAAAAAAATCCCCCTTTGCAAGCGGGGAATTCTGGGAAGAGCATTGCCAGGCTGAGATGAGCATCTCCACAGGCATCTTTAGGAGCCCAGTTCAGTTTGGTTTAAAATTAAGAGAAAT